TCTGGCGAACCCGAGATGGGGGTCATTCCTCTATCTTGGTGCTACTGGCCTCTAAGCAGTTTTTGATACCATTGACCATGGTATCCTTCTGAGATGACTAAGGGAGTGGGGAGTGGGAGCCACCGTGTTGCAGTAGTTCTCCTCCTATCTCTCTGGTCGGTCACAGTCGGTGTTGGTAGGAGGATAGAGGTCGACCCCTCGTTTACGGGGTGCCTTAGGGCTTGGTCCTCTCTCCCCTCCTATTTAACATCTACAAGAAACTGCTGGGTGAAATCATCCGACGATACGAAGTGGGATATCAGCAATATGCTGATGATACCCACCTGTATATCTCCAACCCCCCCATCAGTTCAGTGAGGCAGTGGATGTGATGTGCCGGTGCCTGGAGGCTGTGAGGGCCTGGATGGGAATCAACAGGCTCAGGCTTAACCCAGACAAGACCGAATGCCTCCTAAAGACTATGTCGATTGTCCATCCTTGGTCCTGGGAGGGGAGAAATTGTCCCCCTCAGAACGGGCTCGCAATCTGGGTGTCCTCCTAGACTCACAGCTAAGATTGGAACAACATCTGACAGCTGTGGCTAGGGGGACCTTTGCACAGGTTCACCTGGTGCACCAATTACGACCCTCTTTGGATCAGGAGGCTCTCCTCACAGTCACTCATGCCCTTGTCACCTCATGGTTGGATTATTGCAACATGCTTTACGTGGGACTACCCTTGAAAAGTGTTCAGAGATTACAGTTGGTCCAGAATGCAGCCGCGCAAGCTATTGTAGGTGCACCTAGATACACCCACATTACACCAATTCTCCGCGAGCTGCACTGGCTCCCTATAGGTCTCCGGATCCAATTCAAGGTGTTGGTTATTACCTTTAAAGCCCTACATGGCTCAGGGCCAGGCTATCTTCAAGACCGCCTTCTACCGCACAGCTCCCAGCGACCGGTAAGATCCCACAGAGCTGGTCTCCTCCGGGTCCCGTCAGCTAAACAATGTCGATTGGCGGGCCCGTGGGGGAGGGCCTTCTCTGTGGCTGCCCCAGCTCTGTGGAACCAATTACCTCCTGAGGTCCGGATGTGCCCACCCTATTGGCCTTCCGGAAAGCGGTGAAGACCTGGCTTTTCCAGCAGGCCTGGGGCCGTTGATCTCGCTACGGCGATCTTGTGAGACCCGGCCATAGAATGGAGTGTATGGGTTTTTAATGTTTTTTTTTTAAAAAAAAAATTTACGGGATATTGTTCGTATTGTTTTATGGGATATTGTTTTTTCTCTGTAAGCCGCCCAGAGTCCTTAGGGAGTTGGGTGGCATAGAAATGCGACAAATAAATAAATAAATAAATAAATAAATAAATAAATAAATAAATAAATAAATAAATAAATAAATATGCAGGGAGGTAGGATTGTTTGCTTCTGTTTTAGTTGTAAGTGTGCCTCAAATAACGAGAGATTTCAAGCACATACTGCCAATACATTAATTGTTTTCTGAAGGTCAGTTTTCTACTCTCTTTTAAAAAATAAAAGTTAAAGTATCAATATACTTTTCTTCCTTCTCTCCCTCCCACCTTCCTACCTTTCGTAGTAAAGTGAGATTTGAACTCAGGTCCTCCAAGTTGTATTCCCTAGCCTTAGTTGAAGCTGGCATTCAAACTCATTTTGCTGCGGGATCATATTTGAATGGCCTTTTGACAATAACTCAAGGCAGTGTGTGACTCTGAATGAATTGCACATATATTGTGAATAGATGTTTAAACTGTGGGTGTTTTAGAGCCAGCTAAAACCCTAATGGCTACATTGCTCATGGGAGATTTAACATGATGTGTGTGTGTGTAGCTAAGTTATTAGGAGAATGGGGTGAACAGTGCAGCTAGTGCAGAGTCCAATTCATTTAAATATTTCCTTCCAATACTATAATGCCCTCTTCTTATATTAAGAAAGAGGAAGAAAGATTTCTAAATATAATAACTGGGGATTTCACATTTCCATATGTACAGTCTTGTTCCAACTTATTTGATACGTGCCTCTCTCCTTCCTTATGTGTACAATTCAGAATCTCTACTGTACATTCCCTCCTCCCCCCGAGATCCTGTTACTCTTTAGGAGAAGCCAATAGATCCCCCCCCCTAGTTAATAAACAGCAATGTAGCAAGTGAAGGCCCTGCAGTATCTCATGGCAAACATAGATCTCCAGGGTTCAATGTTGGCTAGAACGTTGAATGATGTGTTGTTTTGCAGTGCAAACAACGTTGAAAGAGCATTACAAAGATTTGGGAGTTTTTAGTGTTATTAAAATGCAACTTTCTGTTTAGATTAATTATTGGATATTAAATATTTATAAGCCACCTTGAACTTTGTTGAAGAAAATATAGGTATTGCTAGCAAATGACTAAAGAAATAGCTTCTTAGGTAACAATCTGAATTATTCCCAAATATGCTTCCTTCACTAGGGAAAATCCAAAAATTCTTTGCTGCCATCTAGTGTTTGTCTTGATTTGTGCACCTTAAATCCTGTAGAACTACAGCTACATCTCTTCCTTTTCAATTTCTTCAAATGTTCTCCCTGGTGGATCATGGCAAAGCTGTTTATGTGACTTCAAATCTCTCTTTTTTTCCTGGTTTCAACTTCCCACCATTTTGAACTGGGGACACAGGACCTTTGCAGAATAAACTCTACAAAGGTCTGATTACAATGTTAACGAGAAAAACCCCAACCTCCCTCTTTTGCCGAGCATCAGAAAAAAGAAAATCCTAGCTTTGCCCAAATATGTGATGCAGCCTGACTCCATTACTTACCCACTGTGGCTGCATTCCCTCTCCCCAAATAATAAGTAAGCCTCAGCCTTACATAATTATGTGGAAAGGCTCAGAAGGACCTTTGTGCCCAGCTTTGAGGGTGATACTCAATTCTGGGCAACTTTTCCAAGCACATTTCCCATCAGGTTGCCAGCACACTGCATTCTCTGATTGTCCTGTGCCGAGACCTGTTGCTTAGCAACAATCAGTACATTCATCTTTAATAAATTGCTGGCACCATGATGGCCAAGACTGTAGGGAGGGGGAGAGTGGAGAGTTTGATTTGGGTGACTTTTATTTTTTTTTTTTTAAGGGAACACCATGTGGTTTGCAAAAATGAAAGGGGAAGAAAAGATTAAAACATTTTAAAAATGCAATCTGTTGACACGGACTAGCCCAGATTGAGTCAGCCCATAGATGAGAATAGGCTTTCACTAGCTACATGAAAATAGCTACTCACAAACATGTGACATGTGAATTGTGCCTATGTATAAAAGGGGGGTTGAGGTGTGGTGCTCTAGACTGCGCTTCACATTTGGAATTAGAACTACCAAGAAAGTGTTGTGGTGGGTGCTGGACAAGCAACCAACTCAACCAGCAGAAAGCCAACTATAAAAGACCAAACTTGTATTCACTGGCAAATATACCTGCTTCAACAGCTCAGTCCAGAGAAAATGATAAAACCTACATGGAAGAAATGCTGAATGAGAGAATTATAGAATCAAAGCTGGAAGAGATCATGTAGGTGAGTGTGTCCCAAACCTGGGTAAATTACTCAAAGTTGGATAAAAGTGGTTTTTCTTTGGGTAATGATATCCAAGCCAATTTATTTTAGCGTACGGCTGGTCACACACAATATTAAAACACTTCATTTTTACAGGTTAAAACAATTTAACCTGTAAAACAATTAAAACAATTTTAAAAAGAGCAGTAAGAAAACCTAAGAGGAAAATAGAAATAACATTTCAGAGTTTAATGTCGAGTTTGGAGATCCAGTCAGTAGCTGTCGTCGTTACGCAGAGGAAGTCCCTAAAATCTCCTGGATACCTTCTGTTAGAGCATTCCCTCACTATATGTTGGATAGTCTGTCGGGGTCCCCCGCAATTGCATTGTGCTGAAGGTGTCTTTCCCCATTTATACAAGGAGTCAGCACACACCCTCATCCAAACCAATTATCCATCACAACAGGGACATTTAAATTGACTTAAAGATTGCCACATAAACTAAAATGCATTAAAAAATATCCCAAATATTCCTATTAAGTTAAAAATTGGTGAAAGTGCCAATGGAAATTTGTTGAAATGATAGTAAAGATCATTCACTGATAACTGTTTTTATAATACAAGTAGTCTTTCAGTTTGACTATTTGTTCAATGACCATTAAAAGTTGTGACATTATTGAAAGAAGGGTCTTAAGACTGATACTCAAAATTTGATAAGACTTTCATTTGGATAATGAAGGAAAAAGGTGAGGAAGCATTGATTTAGGTCATCAAACTTTCTGGCCAGTGCAGGAATCCAGATGAAAGCACTCCTACAGATGGCCATTCAGTCTCTCTCAATTGTTTCCAGGGAAGGGAAACTCATTACTTCCCTAGCCCTGTTGTTGAACGTCTCTTACCATTTTGAACCTGCCTTCTATAACTTAAGAACATTATTCCATATTCTGCAGTCTGGAACACTAGGGAATAGGATATATTCTTTTCTGTGGCACCCCTTTAAGGTCTTAAATTCATAAGAATTAAAAGAAACTGGCCCAAAGTTAATGTAGCTGTTTTCCATCTCTCCAGCCCTCATTTTTTTCTCAAGACTAAATATACCTATTTCCTCAGTCTGTACCAGTAAGACTTATTTTCTAATTCTCTGATTATTTTCACCATCTCTGCATCTGTGCAGTTTCTTTGAATTTTTTTTAAAAATTGTGCCCAGAATTGGAGTTAATACTTAGGTTGGGTTCTGACCAATGATACAGTAAATATATAATAGAATATTTATTTCCATGATTTGAAAGTTATACTTCTTATGATGTAATTTAAAATTTTGCTTGTGTTTTAATCAGAAATAGGAGGAGGGATGTGCATTAAGTGTGTTTGATGCTTTGAGTTATTTCTAAAAAACAAGGCAGAATAAAAATAAATAAATATAGTATCACAGTGATGCTCTTATTTAGCCAGCTACATGGGCAATCATGTTTTTTTCTTTATCTTATATAGTTGAATCTTGCTGCTATTACTCAGACTCCTCCTTTTCAGGAAAGAACAGAAAGAAGTTCATGCAAATCATCATCCATTTTAGGTTTGAAGGCTGCCAATTTGGAAGAAGAAACATCAACTCAACTTGACTTCTCCATAACACTGGCATCTGCATGTGAACATTTTGGTGTCTATTTTTATAACAAGGCAAACCAAAAAATCAATTCTTTTGAAAATAGAAACTCTTATTATAGAAAGATTGAACGCTAATTGCTAAGAACAACAGTTTAATTTTGAGCAAACTCTGATCTTGACATCCTGTCTTTTTAACTCTTGATTGTACTTCCGACTGATCTCTTGAATTTGTATTCCCTCCCGCCCCCCCCCCCCCCCGCCTTAATGACACTAACCTTGTTTAGCTCTTTAAATTCACATTTGGCTGCTAATATTTCCTAGTCATGGTTCATGACATCTTTGGGATTTGACCCTGGATTTTGCTAAGTCCACTAGACACAGTACAATTATCCCTAGTTAAAAAAAAGAAGAAGAAGACATTGTTCACATATTGCTTGCTGATGATTTATAGAAAAAGTAGAGGTGGCTGGGTTCAAACAGCTAAACCAGAAGTCATGGTTTACAAACAGATTTCATGTACTAGGCTAAGGCACAAATTTGGAGGAAAAATCACATTATAGCTTATTAATTTGAGAAGCCAGTCTGTGTCTGATTTTGACATAAACAGCTGTTGGAGCTTAAATGGCCCACAGACCTAGAAGCCCTGTTCTGGTTTGATGTCATCTAGTTTTATCTATATAAATATTAGAGAAGAGCCACAATAATTTTGCATTGGCCTCTTTGTTACAAAATAGACTACTGAGTATACTGCAGAATGTGTTACATTCTTCCTGTTCCTATGAGTGAATGTGGGGCTGAAACTGTAAGGGAGAATCATTTTTGAAATTTTCAATGCTAGTTGGAGATAAAAGGAGATAATGCCCTACACAGGGATACCATTGTTCATGCTGGTATCTCAGTGTTTTATTATTGTGTGTCTAATGCTAAAACTTATTTATTTGCTTTGAAAGGCTTAATCCACCCATTACTCTGTGGGTATAAAAAGGGGGTTTGGGGGCACTTCCATGTAGCCTGTTAGTTCTCCCTGGACATAGTAGCACCATGGTTTATTTGAATCTGTCTTAATGTTTTATGTAAATTCAGCTTCTAGATGTGTGCACCATAGTTTATGGTTATGTTGTAAGAACCCAGCTAGTTATTTCCTATTCAGTAAACTATAGTTAGGACAAAGCCAACTATGTATTACTGGAACATGTAAACTCCAAGCTTTGTATTAGATGATTTTTTTTTCTGCCACACAGGTTGATAATTATGATGACTGTTGTTTTTAATTAGCTATTTTATTTGCATTATGTAGTTCAATTGGATTCTAAAGGTGGCATATATACAAATGTTCTAAATTACATAAGTAATCATCAGAATTATTCCAATTACAGACAAACAAAAACAAAAATCTGTAAATGAAATAACAAATGAGCTAGCTAAACCAAAGACCTCATTTTGTTGAGTCAACTGCTTGTTGAGTACCTTAGTAAGGATAATGTTGTTTTCATAGTTTTGTAGTTAGTTTTTTTTTAGTTTTATAGTTCAATTGCCAAAATTAATTCAATATTTTAAAAAGAAAGTGGAAGAGATTTGCACAAATGAAGACAGAATGGCAGACTTCTCAATCAAATTTTTCTACAACAGTCCAAACTACATGTTTTAATTAAACTTGCTTACAATTATAACACAGGTTTAAGCATGAGGATCTTGCAACAAAGATGGAGGAGCATTACATTTCAAAAAATATATTTAAAGATAAACTAATTTTTTTAAAGTATTGTGAAATGTTGCCCAATTGAAATAGAAAACCAATGGACTAACAACAAAATTTAGAGCAGGTCCCCCAATCACTGACTGCATTTAAATCTTCTGGCTTTATATGCTGTTGTTCAAATAACTGTGGCTAAATGGATAAATGCTATAAATGCATGTTTCTCTCTGGCTGATTTTGGGCCATAATCATGGTTATGTATGTTTTTACATACATCTTAAGTGGAGCATTATAGTTTAACATAGTCAGTTTAAGAAGTTCATGTAATGATTTAGTATTTGATGTTGATTTTATTCCAGTCATGTAAGAAACATCAGGTTAGAGTTCCCCAAGAAGAATACAAGGAAGGACTCACATAATGCAAATTGTGATTAGGGCAGGAAGAGATGTTCAAGGAAGAAATCCGTAGATAGTGGTCCTCACTATCTTTGTAAAACTTGACTTATCATTAAATCATGGGCAAATATTCAAAATGATGCCATTCATTCAAAAATTCTTTGGCTTGTGGGTATAAAGTTGACTTTCTTATGGAGGCTGTGCCATATGTAAATAGATGTTATTTTTAATTCCCATTGTTTAATGTGTAATAAAATAGATGACAAAATAATATGCAACTTTCTATAGAATTCTTGGGATGCATTATAGTAAACAAAGCAACATTGAGTAATATTGTGTGCTCAAATCCCAATATTTCCTACATCATGTACATGGTTCACATCGATAAACTGATTTTATGGAGAAAGAGAGAAAAAAAAGAAAAGCAGCCATTTATGGAAAGAGCTCATTTTTAAGAGATGCTTTTTTCTAAAAGATTTTAAATGAAAGATGCATCTGAAAGATGGATAGATGAATGAAAAAAGGGGAACCTAAGCTATATTGAAGGTTAAGGGAGAAAATCTACAAGGCAAATTACTCCCTGGTATTAATTTTATAGAGCACAGCTCAGAAACAGATTCTCCTACATGTGAAATTAATGGGATATACAGAAGAACACTAAAAAGAAATTCAGGGCCTAAGGTGCTGTATGAGGAAACCTGAGTTCTAGCTCTGCCCAAGGCATAAGGTCATATTACAGTGGCCTTGAGATTATCACTTTTTTTCAGTCCAAAATATGTTGCATTGAAAACTGTATGGACAAGCCCCAGGAGTCAAGACTGACTTAAAGGCTAAAAAAAGTAAGAGCACTACATAACCTTTGCCATGCAATATTTCAGTTTCACATTGATTCATCATGGGGCAACCTCCTTTTGAAAGATCTATAAATGTGTGAGAATGAGGGAAAAGATGGTATAACATCCAGAAGAATGTGCCAAGAAGGATAAGAAAAACAAAGTAAGGAAGCTATGTGAAGTTTAAAAGACTGCAATAATTTCAGATCTTTCTCTCTCTGATTTTCTCATCTGTCTATTAAAATTAAACCTAGGTATATCTGTCTGAGACTTGCACAGAGATGGCAACAGAAGAGGACAAGGGTGAGGAACTCTCAATAATCTAGCAATCATGGCCAATAGTGGAAAAATACTGTGAAATGTACTTCAGCAAATTCTGAATAGAGATAATGTAGATGTACATGCCTAAGCAAAATAAAACCAAAATGATGAAACGTACATTGTGGCATCGTAATGTAACCTGTGTCCCATCACACTTTCATTACAAGGTTGCCTACGAATATAAAAGGTAGAGGTTTAATCATGACATTGCAATGCACATTTTGTCACTTGCTTCCTTTGTTCTTTGTGAATGCCTATGTGGAGAGAGGCTCCTAACCTGAAATAAAGGATTGGGTATGGAGATGCACAGGGATGCTCCACTGAGTTGGCATTTATCCAGCATACGTCATCTACAGATATACATCTATTTCCACCCACACATATATCTACCCCTTAAGTCATGGCTTTTAAGTGATCTTTGATGGCTTCCGTATTTTTGTGCTTGGAGATATTAATTATTGGTTGTTACCAGCAGGGACTTTTAGGCTGAGGTAGTTCACACATGGGCCAGGTATTCCATGAATACACATGGCATGTGAGTCAGTGTAGTTGTATTTTAATTCATGGAAGGTACCATGGGAAAGATTTTCCTTCAGTGTCACTTAATCAACATCTGAATCAATTTCTAAATGAATAAACATACAGTGAGTTGCGGTTGAGTCAGCAGACTATCCCTGATCTAGTTTTCTCCATTAGCCTTCTCAACTTAGTGTCCACCAAATATCTTGGAGCAACTCTGAGAGTTGTAGTCCCAGAACATCTGGAGGAAATCAGGATAGAAAATACTAAATTGCACACTATTCTTTAATCACCTCAGGACTCAAGCAGACTCAATGGGAATTGTTTCATGTACTTAAAACCAGATCACTTAGATTCTTGTAGCAAGAATGGGTGAGGTTCACTTTGAACTGCAAACTTTGGCTTGTCAATGTAAACAGCAAGGCTCTCCCCATTCCTATAGGTGTTGTCTTCCTCCCCCAAAACACCACCTCAGGAAAGGGAGAGAACAATAATGGTTGGGAAGAAATGCAGAGCAAAGATTCTTCTTCCTCCCTCCCTTGGGTGCTCCTTTATGATTTTTAAACACCCTCGTTTCATTGTGAAGAAACAAATCTGACACTTTTCTGTCTAACTGGGCCTGCAGATAGTGCTCTCTCCAATTGTTGATAGTCGGTCCACACATTCAGTTGTCTGTCATCGGGTGTGTTATGATTGCAGATAAAGAAATTGTAATGCCACTATATAAATAAGAAATGCCGACATGAATTTTTTTCCTTTCTTGTAAGAAGTAGTGTCAGCGAGGAGCAATAAGGGGTGGAGGGAGTAGAAGGTTTTGCCTATTGTGAACAGCTAATTCAAAGCCCTGCCCTTTTATAAGGCTGTGGAGAGGGGCACTCTGCCCATGTGCAGAATCACCCTGTTTTGATCATCTGGGTATAGGCTAGTTGTAGCCTATCTCCAAGAGAATATCTCTCCAGTTTAGTAATACTGTACTTCAAAGCATGCCAACTTAGTATTCACTTCCCTTAGAACGATCAACCTGAAGAAGGCTGAGCGTGGTAAATTCTTGCCACGTTCCTTGCCTGCTGGATCTCGGGCGGGGTGGGGGAGAAGCAAGGGGAAAGATGTGCTATTATTGTTAGCGTTTGACTGGGTCCCTTCTGTGCCTTGCCATTCATTTAAAATTCTGATTTAAAAACCAAAAGAGGCTCTTTAAAATTTCCACATTAGCATGCCGTTTGTATGTTAGGCCAAGATGCTCAGGGATGCTTTTTGGCAGAAGTCGCCCTCTGACAGCTTTTGCCAGCAATAAAACAACACATGAATAAAAAAAAAAAAGAAGAAGTCAGGAGCTTTTTAACAATTTCTTCCCCTCCCTGATAGGCAGAAACAAGGTGGTGCAGGTCCCAAGCAGTGGAGGAGGGCATTTAAGGCCTGGAATTCAGGCTATTGTCCCTCTTTTTGGCCAGGAAAGATAAGAATCTCTAGTTCTGCTATGGAATGTTACATTTAGAAACAACGGGAAAGGGGCAATCTGTATCAAAGAGACAGTCCTTTGCTCTTCACAAACAAACAACCCCCGCCCCCCGCCCGCCTTGGCAGCCTTCGTCCCCTCCTTCCTTCCCTCCGTCCCTTGGGGAATCGCTTGCTTCTTCATAAGGACAGATGTCTCTTTTGATGAGGACACAAGGATTTGGCTGGCTTCCTGGACCAGCCCAACTTCATTAATGGGCTTTTGCGCAGCTTGGGAACAGGTGGGGTCGGAGAGCAAGCATTTTCCATAAAATGTCGTGCCACATAAAATACGATGGTACCAGCGGATGAGAGGCCGACAGCAGGATAGGAATCGGGGAGGGTGGGCAGGGAGGGGAGAAAGGTGGAGAAAGGTGTTTTTCTCCATGCAGACAAACACAAGTGCCAAAACACACAGTACACTACATCTTCTCCCATTGCTACTTTATAGGATTTACTGAATACATACATCTTCTCTCAGCATCAGATAACCCAAATAAGAATTAGGATTACTCCATGTGCAGCTTGATAATTTTAGACCATAGAGTCTCCATGCAGGGATCCTCAAACAGCCATGGATACTAGGTAACCAAGGGAGGAGGGAGCAGAATTATGGGATGGGCGTGATGCAAATTGACCTTTGGCCCTGTTGCCCAGCTGCACTCCAGGGATCTGCGCATGCCACCCACAGTACTTTCAAATGTTAAGTCCAAGCATTCCAAGTTCTGGAGCCGAAAAGCAAAGCTGAATTCTATGACTATTTGCATCATTTTGCATAATAACGTCTACAGTATTGGTGATTTTTAATCAATGATTTTGCTTCTGATAGCCATGGGAAATGCAATGGGCAGTGGTTAAAGCACCAGGCTAGAATCTGGGAGATCAGGCAATTGGGTGATTTCCAGCCAGTCACTCTCTGTCAATCCTAGGAAGGAGACAATAGCGAACCATTTCAGAAATCTTGCTGAGAAAATTGCAGGAACGTATTTAGGCAGTCGCCAGGAATCGAAATTGACTCCAAGTACCATTCCCTCTAAAAAAACATGGGATAGGGTCCTAGAAAATATTCATCAACTCCCCCTCAACTTTCTAGATTTCACCAACTGGAGGGTTGGGTTTTTTTAGTGCCTTTGAGTCAACTCTTAATTCCTGACAACTAAGTTTTCTTGACAATCTATTTTTGAAGTGATTTGTCATTGCTTTTTTCCTGGGACTGAAAAAGAGTGAGTGGCCCAAGGTTACTTAGTTGGCTTGGTGACTAAGATGGGACTAGATCTCATAGTCTCCTGGTTTTTAGCCTAATCACCATACTACGCCAAGCTGGTTCTGTCCTCAAATGTTGCTTCCACTTTGACAATAATTTTATATTTGAGAAAGTATGAAATTGAAAAACTTGAGAAAGTATAGAAGTTGAAAAAGTTGCATTTGGGAAGAATAGCTAGAAAGTAAGAAGAGAGAAAGATATGCTTGCAAAGCAGTATTCTGCTTTCAAATGCCCTGTGGTACTTTGGAAATTCTCTGTGGATTCCTGCCATACATTCATTCAGCATTCTTTTGGCCATTGAATGAAATATGACAGTTCTGATCCTTCTCTTCCATATTTGGATCCAAACTGCAAAGGTTGAGCCATTCTAAGAACACTTTGCTTTATTGATCAAGCGAAGTCGAGCTATCAGCTTCAGATGCCCGCCTGGCAATCAAACAGTTTGTATAATAGGATGGAACACTGAAACTCCCTTGTTCAATGGAAAGATTGAATATTAAGTGCAATTAGCACCTGTGTCCAAGGGGGCAGGGAAGGTGTAAAGAGGAAAGCAGTACAACATCTCATTTGAAAAATGAGATCTTAAAGTGAAATCTGGTGGTGCCATAAGAAAAGCATATTATCTTTCAAAGAAGAAAATCAATCCACCTTTCACCTGCAGTTCTAAGTGTGGAAGGGTGTGCAAAATAGATTGCAGCAATAAAGATCAGACCATAATGGTTTATTAATTTTAAATACATCAGAAGTTTTCTTAGTTTATGACTCCTGGATGAGGCCACCAAACAATCTGCCAAGTGGAATTCTTTGATCTGTATAAATTATGCATATTGAATGGCCTTTTATATTTTTTCATGGACTGCTGTGCAAATTTTATTATTGTGCCTAACAAACCAGATTTATTCAGGTTTTTATATGTTTATTCATATTTACATTCTGCAATGTTTCTGTCATGGAATTCAGGATGATGTACTTAACGATCCCCCACACTAATAAAATATGGTTAGCTTCATGTGCTCTCTGTCCATGTTTTGATAAGTACAAGTAAGGTACAAGAAGCCATGCAGATCACTGAAATCTGCCTCTCTCCTGGCATCAGGGAAAATTTTAGAGAGCCACTGCTCTTCATCATGAGATTTCACCAGCCTGCACATTTTTCAACTAATTATTCAGGGACTCATTATGTCCGATTCAATTTCCTGTATATATTCCTCCACTTCAACACTGCCTATGCATCTCTGGTTATAACCGATGCAAAGCCCAATGAATGCCCCATTACCTTGGCAGCCTAACTCTGCTCTGGCATAAGTCATTTTGATGCCCAAGGTAGAATGGCAAATGCTTTCCCATCTCCAATTCAGAGTTACTGAAATCCACTCCGTTCTTTCTGATACCTGATGCAAAAAGTCCATCAAGCACCACACTCTCAACTTGTCAGTGCATATTAATAAGCCAGATAACTAACATTGCTGCCTTTCCCTCAGATTGCTTCATATTGCCAGTCTGCCATGGGATAATTCCAAAGAAAATCCATAGCTACAGCTTTCATTCTTTGATTATGCTAGTCCTGATTTGGTGTAAGTATACCATTCAAAGAAGCTGCCATTTGTAATTAATAATTATTTTTGAAACATCTTTTGCTTTAAGTCAACAAATGACATCCTCCTTAAGTGACTGCTATACCACAAAATATGTTTGCCATTTCCTCTCAATATTTCTGAGTCTATTTTAATTTTTTATAAATGAAGTCTGTAGGCACTGTCTACACCCAGTGGACTTTTTGTCAAGATCATGCAAGGTATGGGGACATGCTATAGCCCATTTAAAATAAAGGGGAAAATAA